AGATTGGAAGAAAAGAGAAAGACAAGTTGAAGAAAATCATAGGGAGATACTCAAGCTCCTTGATGAACTTCTTGAGAAGACCAAGAATCATTCTTACAGTAAACGAACGAACAGAAGGCGAGATGGTATGCAAGTTTCACAGCCAAAAATGGAAACCCGAAGAGGTCTGGTGATGGAGAATCAATTTCGCAGAATGAAGATTCCTTTATTCCATGGAGACAGAGAAGATGATGAAGCTTGGGGATGGCTGATCTATTTGCAACAATTTTTCCAGATAGAAAGAATCAATGAAGATGAGCAGTTGAAGGAAGCTGAGAGAGGGCTTAGAGGGAGTTATTTCAGCTGGTATCAAGGTTGGAAATGGTACAATCCTAATGCAAGCTGGAGTGACTTTGAGAAGGCATTAACAGAAAAATATCTACCAGAAATTATTTTGGTAGATGATGCAGATTCAGAATGTCAAAAATCAAAATCACAATCAAGGCAAAAATCTGGGTGGGAAGAGATGGAGACCATGCACATAGGAACAAGAATAGAACCGAATAAGGCGGATGGCATAAACATAGTAAAAGGGAAGAAGGAGGAGATCATGGAAGAGGTAGAAGAGGAGAGGGAGATAATCAAAAATCTGAAGGAGAAACAAACTGTGGTTGTAAATCTGCCCACAGGAGCAATATGCGTAGAGAAATACGATCACATGGACGCTGAGAATAAATCGCAGCAAAATCCCAAGGAAGAAGAGGAGAAGACTGGTATTGATGGAAAGAAGATTGATGAGATGCAAGCTATGGAAGAAAGCAGAGGATTAGAGACCGCGGGAAGAATTTTGTTGCAAGGAAGGAAGCACACGATTGCAGAGCATGAGTTAGAAACCCATAAAAGTGGGATAGAGGATGAAGACATGAGTGTGAAAAACATTTAGGACGAGATGATGCATGAAACGACATCACAACAACCACCTGCGATAATGGTCCAATTGCCCCCCTTACCCAAGCCACCAGACTTCAAGTTGTCGAGGAAGGATGACGACAGATTGCAAGGCAACCATGAGAGCTGTAAGCCGCTGCAAACAGAGGAGAATGGAGGAAGGGAACATTCTAGGTCAGAATTAGTGAAATTGGGCCAATGTGTTGACCTATGGGGTAAGGCCCAAAACACCTTCAATATATTCCCGGTCCAAATTGATTTTATTTCTCTTGTAGCATTTTTTCCTAGTGAATCTATAGTTGGGCCTGAGCTAACTCGGCCTAAAAAGCCAAAAATCAATGACTTGCTGCAGAACTTTAATGATGGACATTTCCAAAACCAACCCAATGATCCTTTCACTGGTGTTGGGTGTGAATGGGAATTTAAGCCCATAATTCTATCTCAAATCATGAAACCTAGAACAACGTATTCCGATCCAGCAAATCAGTTTCACTTTTTTTTTATCAAGCTACGTTTGGGACGACTACGAGGTGGTGCTTCGCCAAGACGAAAATGAGTGTTACGCCTGCGAATTGGATTTGGGTATTAGTGGTGTCCTCGAATTCGCAAGTAATGTTGAATGGTGACCGGTCTATGGAGAAATGGGAATGGAATGAATGGGACGACAACTTCCAAGTGCACATTACATTGGTTGCTGATTTTCAAAATGGATTTACAAAGTTAGTGTCAGATATGCTTAAACGATGTTGCCCGGGGTCTTATATAATAGCTTATGCACCCAAGCAGGAGACTTTTGAATGCTGTAAGGGACAACAATTGGAAGAAAAACATGAGGTAAAGGTTATTAATGCCCGATTAAAACCTGAAGAATATATAGCGGAGAAGGTGTTTGATAAAATTTCTCGGAGAAGTATGATTGCTTGGATTTCAATGATTTTCGGTTACGAATTCAAAAGGTTCTCCAATGGCCCAGTGACGCTATCTCATAAGATGCAGGGTGATGTTAATTTAGCAATTTTTGAGGCTGTCCATGCAGGAACCATGACGAGGCCATCACTCAAACTATTTCGAGAACACTCTCCATTTTGTCCATTTAATGGTGATGATGGAATGACAACAAAAATGCTATAGGATCCTGGAGGAAATCACTGCACTTTTGTCATAAGTTGTTGTTTGCAATTCAAGCAATGGGATCTCGGTGGAAAGGGCTTGAGGGATAAACCTCACTTTGAGGACAAGGTGAGTGTTTAGGGGGGAGTATTGATACGGTTCTGCCAAGTAGAAAGTTGGGAAGGTGTATGAGAGGAAGAGGCACATTGCCAATCACAGATGCTGACTCAGCATTAGTTACCAAAGCAGGGAATAAGTTGGTTAGGGTCACATTTTTAGCATCACACGAAGGCTAGGATATATAGAGGAGGAAAGACTATTTTGGGGGGATCTTTGGGACTTGGAACTTTGGGCTCCTCTTGGGTGATTGGGAGAGTCTAGAGCCTCTATAATTGCTCTAGAATTATCTTGCATTATTTCCCTTTCTGTTATAGCATTTTCAGTTCATTGTATTTCCCTTTCTTTGTTAAATTGTCTCTGAGTTGTTATCATTTTCATATTGTAATACAGATATAGATACATCAATATACAGATCTGTGTTCCTTTTCCATAATCCATTGTCTGTTAGATTTATTTTCTGGTTGGTCTGTATCACAAACCCACTGGGTTGGATAGCAAGGGCAAATAAGTTTTCTGAGGTGCATTAGATGAAGGTGGCGGAGAAGGTGTAGATTGTTTTATTAGTACTGAAGTTGCACATGGATGAAGAACAGAGAGGTTGAAGAGATCTTAGAGAGAGAATGGAAAGTAAAGTTCTGAAATTGTATTTATGTCTCTGCTTCTTGTACATTGAACTGAATATTTATAGATCCAGAATCTAATCTAGAGTCTGGTATAAATGTAACTGATTCTGTTCAAGTCTCCATCAGTCAGATAGAAACTGTTAGGATTAGTTAACATGTACAACAGTTAAGAGTCTGTTTGGAATTCAGTATAAACAGATTCTGATCCTAAGTTAGGGAACTCAACAGTGGGATAATGAGAGAACAATTCACGGAAGATGATAACACTCTGATACCCTGTTGAAATTATAGGGTTTAGGTATAGAAGAAGGAAAAGGAATACTTAGAATAATAAAACAATATTTATATTATTTTGAAAGATGTGTTATGATGAATTACAAGAAACTAAATATTAAACCTTATATACAGTAACATTGGACTCCTAATCCTAATTAAAAAAGGAAACAAATCATGAAATATGTAAATCAATACTAAGAGATCATTAAGATACTCAAAAATATTTTTAAGATACAATATATTGAGATGTTCTCTATATATTCTACCAATAGGTTAGATAGTTTTAAGAGTGTAAGATAGAAAAGAAAAATGTATAACATTTAAAATGGGATTTTTTTAACCACAACAACCATATCTTTTTTTCTTGGCACTAAAAGAACTTTAAGGAAAAATTTATTTTCCCAGTACTTGCATCCAATTTTACCAAACAATGTGGACAGAGGAATAAAGGAAAACGATAAATGCAAACTTTACCCCCACAAAGAAAACCCTCAACACAACAAAACAGCAATACGACAAAAAATAAAACAAAATAGCTGAACATGACATCAACACATATAGACACTACGCATACGAAAAAAGCAGCAAGTCTCACAGAGAAAGTTCAAACAGATCAGAGAACATAGGTTATTAAAATTCAATATTTGTTTCCCTTTAGTTTCACAGTAGAGTAAAAGTGCCATACTAAGATGTGATTAAGATATTGGTCTGATATCCCTATTTATTTATTCCAAAAGTAAACTATGAGCACCATGCTGAGATGTTGAAGTGTCAAACTGAGGGTCAATGTCCAACACATGTTGGACATGTACATGAACAGTGCTCTTCTCTCGAGTTAATGCTGCTTCAGAGGTTAAAATAAATAATCATGAAACTAAAATCATTAATCAAATCATAATAAGGTTTAAAAAATATCAGAAAGAATATGCCCCATTAATTCTCATCGCAATTCCAACTCAGTCTCTTGTCTATACAAAAGAACATAGAGTTTATACCATTCCACTGCAAAATAAAGGACCTAACAGAAGGGGAATACAAAAAATTAAGGGGTGGGAAACAAAGCCTAAATTAGAGGGCATTTCATAAAACCTATCCAATTACAGCACAAATTTATTCCTCAGTATTTAAAGGTAAAGAATAAATGAAAGAGAAATCAGACACTGTGCATAAGGTTGTACAGTCAAAACTGAAAACTCAAATAGTGAAGTGGGTTTTGTAACACTTGAAAAAATGGCTAAAGGAGGATTGCACAGCTCTCTTACAGAAATCATCTTTTAGGAAACTACTTTCCTTGCCTCTGTTTTTACTCCTTCTGGATTATCTTTGTTGAGGAATTCTTATTCTCCAATCTTTTGTACTTTTTTCCTTCCTTTCTTCAAAGAAATCTCTTCTTTTAAATTTGTTCTAAAAAAAAGGCTCAAGGAATGTTTTCACTTGATCATAATAAATTATGTAGACATACATTAAACAAAAGGGCAAAATGTTCAAAAACTCGTCCAAATATAAGAATCAGCCTCTTCGCAAAAATGTAAGGATAAGAAGATTTCCCACTCTCCTACCCTCGCAAGTTGGAATTTCAAGTGGAGTGGTTTTTAATATTAAACAAAAGTAGCATTTCCGATTGTGTTTGTTAAATCCTGGGGGATGTATAATAGAAGTTCGAGCGAAGTATAATGGAACCCCATAATCAATTTTTGAAAGAAGAAACAGATGATTGATTCCGTTCAAAATTGAGAGCACGATATTCTCACACGATGAAAAATAAAAATTAAGAAATAAAAAAAACATTTATTGGCGAAACTGGTGCCCTAGAAAAGACTCAAATTCATCAAATTGGAATTCGTACGTTAACAGTAGAGTGCAATTCATGATCTAAATCAAACAACGCAAACAAGAAGAGGTGTAATCGAGACACAAACACACACATAAATAGAGAAAGAGCACCTTGGGGAGCTGAGTCAACCCGGTGGAGATCCAACGAGTCGAACGGTGATTAGGGAAAGAGAAGAGAACAGAGTGAGGAAATGCGTAAGGCGTTCAATTATCAATACCAAATAAAATAAATAAATAAAAAGAGAGTGTGTGCGAAACTGTCAATAGATTTTTTGTTACCCCCGTTCACGAGAGAAAATTTTTTTATACCCATCCTAATTCTATCTTTAAGTTGGGTGTTTGTTATCTCACAAACTTTAATTCTTTAAATTAATTATATTTATGGTTTTTTTAATGGATTTAATATTTATTTTTTTAAAATACATAGAATTTATATTTATGGTTTTCGCGGTCTGGATTTGATCGGTTTTGGAAACAAAAATCATCTGATCCAATTCTTTCGGTTTGATCATGTAATCATCCATTCGGTTTGGATTTTTTTTCAAATCTGATCCGATCCAATACAATTTTTTTCGGTTTGGATTGGATCGATTTTCAGTTTTTTAAAAATCTTAAAATTTATATCATGATTATTGTGCAAATAAGATCTTTTGTGTATATTGGCTTTGTAATATCTTTTTTAAATACAAAAGCATCAGATAATATAGTTTTTTTTTTGGACTATAAGATATGAAACTCTACATAGATGAAATTTTGTTGATGAGATGTGACTAGATTTTTTCTTGAGTTTAGTTGATGGGTTAATGGATCTTGAGTTTAGAAATTTTTGGGCTATGATTGAAAAAAGACTCAAGTAGGTAGAGAAAAATTAATATATTGGATCGGTTTGGATTTGATCGGTTTTCATATACCAATCCGAAAACCGATCCAATCCAATTAAAATTTGCGGTTTTTATTCGGTTTTCGATTTTTCGGTTTTCGGTTTATTCGGTTATCGATTTTTTGGTTCGGTCACCGCGGTTTGAATGAGTTTGGATCGGTTGATGAACACCTCTAGAATTGTATCATTAGAAAAGACGCAAAAAATTATGAAAAAAATGGATAATTCTTTTTAATTTAAATTTTAAATAACAAATATTAGTATATATTTTTCTTTTACTTAAAATGATGCAAATCTATAGTATTTTTCCCCTTTTTAATATATATCTATCTTTTTTTCTTTATTTGGTAATATTCTCGTGGCATTAAAAATGTGTTCCTACTTAAGAGTGGCAAAAATAAGTGAGTCAGTCATTAGGTCAGCCCATTTTTTATTTTTTATTGGTAAAGAGGTCATGAATATATCAACCTAGCTCAATTTGCTCTGTATTAAGGTAGGTTATAATAAGTAAACCTGCAAATCGAGTCGGGTCAACTCACAATTTAATATAAGATAGTGCTTCATTTGTAATGCCAAATTTTTACGATATCCAAAAATTTTATCATTTCTCCTTTATAAAAGATAACGAAAAAAACACTTAATTTATAATGAAAGTTAGTCATATATGGAGGCAAAAATAAATTTCTAAGGATTCTCAGTATTTTAATATACATTTAGGTTTGAGATTAAAAAAAATAAATGAAAGTGTGTGATGAAATTAGATACAATGTAAAACTTATAAAATAATATTTATTTTTAAAATTTATATTTTTATTATTATTTAAGAGGGTTGGCCCATTTACCCGTTAGAAAAATGGGTGGGTTGATTTTATAGCCCATTTTAAAAAGGGAGATAATTATCTCATGTTGCATGAGATAATTATCTCATGCAACAGAGACAAAGTAGTGGGATGCATATTATCTTTTTGTTTTTTTGTTTTTTTATAAATGGTGGACCCCACTATCTTGTCTCTGTTACATGAGATAATTATCTCATGCAACATGAGATAAATAAATCCCTTTTAAAAAGGGGTCAACATGCTTTCCTGCCTTATTTTTGGCAAATATATATATATATATGGGTTAGGATCATTTTACACCGGTATAAGTTATACTCTCAATCTTGATCGTTGATCCCACTTATATCTAAGGGCTCTAATTTTTAGTAATTTGAGCCATTAGATACAAGTAGATCAATGCTCAAGATTGAGTGTAAGACTTCTAACTCTTACACCGGTGTAAGAATATTCTGCCCCTATCATGTTATGGATCACGTAGGTGGTTTTTACTTCTTATCTCCACTACATAGAGCATCTCACTCCACTATTCTCCCCTAACTTCCATCCGCACTACAAATAATTACCCACTAAGTATTGCATCATATCATTAAGTCACCTGCAAACTATCTACTGGAGACACAACCTCCTAGTGCATTTCATCTATATATGACCCTTATAGCTAATAAAGGAAGAGCTCATCTGATAACTTATCTCAATATTCACAAGGCTGGCCATCATGGCTACAACGTTCATATTTGTGTTCAAAGCACATCCTATCTACTAAGCAAATGACTCTCAGACACACTCATTGTTAATATCATCGAACTTTGGCCTAAGGTGCAGAACTTCTCATTGTCTGTCATCTTTACCATAAGCTCCATAGATACAAATACTAGTTATCCAAAATACTAGCTATCCTGCTATACATAAATATTATTTCTCAAACATGTGTGTGTGTGTCCTTATAATAAATTAACAATCTATAATTTAGTGTGAAGAAGTATTGCACAATGATATTTTCATCTCAAGAAGTTGAAAAAGATAAGTAGATATACAAAAATAGATAGTTTGATGGTGGGTCTTTTTATAGGGACAAAATGGATAATTTAATTTAGTTTTTAACAATGTCAAAAGGTGATTTAGATGAAAAAAAAAACATAAAAAGGTAAATGATAAAAAAATAACCAAAGAGAGGTAAGTAATTCTAAGAGAAATTCTAAGGGGATGTTTAGTAGAAGAAAAAATTTTAGAATCCTGAGAATATGATATTGGAAATTTGATTTACCCATGTTTGGTACGATGATTCTAAAAATTTTCCTGGAAAAATCAGATTCTTAGGATTCACGTTTATGAAGAAAATTTCCATCTTAAAATACCACCAAATGGGTGGTATTTTAAGAATCCCATGCTATGAATATTTGACAATTTTTTGGAACATAATCAATCCTATATTCCCAAGAATATTTTGACCTACAAAATAACTTTGTGATAATATTCCTGATAAACTCACTTTCTCACCATATTCCACGAAATCGTGATTCTCGAGTAAGAAAAAAATTCCTCTACCAAACACCTCCTAAGGGTTTTTTTTTAACTTTTCCCTATAACCTATTATTACCTCTTTCAAATAATCAAAACCCTTTGTGACTGACTAACTCCGAATTGTACATGCTTATGTTGTTTTTATGATGGTTGTTTGACTTGTTTCACATTAAATAAGATGGAATAATTAACTGCAATTAAAATGAAATAATTCAGATTCATAAAATTCAATTACCAAATCTGTAATTTGAATAACGATATTCCCATCATTATCAATTTTCAAGCTAAATGGACATGATCAAATACATAATGGGACAAGATTGCTTCAACCAGAATCTCAATAACTTAATAGATAATGTTTGCTCAAAAAACTTTTGTGACTCAATCAAGATAAACCTTGACATCAATTCCGTTATCAATAAGTGATTGAACTACAGCTCTGATTTTCCCTTCAAACCTGTCCCTATCCCTTGGAGTATAAGCAGCAGTGTAAACATCAGCTTCTCTTGCTCTGTCAGCTAAAATCCGACCAATGGCTATGCATGCAGGTATGTCTGAACGAGACTTTAGAACAGCTTTTATGTCCTTGGAGTTGGTACCAGCAACTGCAACCTGTTTGCTTGTCACCCTATGAGTGAGTGAAGCTGATACAAACCGTTTTGAGATAAACACGTCAAGAGTAAAAGGTTCCATGTAAGCAATTGTTCTTTGTTTGAATGATACATGTTTATTTGGATTCTTTGACTTCTTCCCTTTCTGGTATGTGTAAGGTCGGCTGTTGTCATCATCCAGGAAATCCTCTACCCCAAAAAAGCTTCTAGGTGCCATTTTCGCCTGTATAAAATAAACGCACTAAAAATGAGTATTTATACTTCAAACATGATTCACCTCAAACTGAATATTCATATTCTTAATTTTTTAAGAGGGGCGAGTTTGGTGCAGCAGTAAAGCTGTTCCACCCTTTGTGACAGAAAGGTTACATGTTCGAATCCGGAAAACAATCTCTTTACAATGCAGGCAAGCCTACATACAAAGATTGATCTTACCGTATCTTCGTTAGACGGGGTTTAATGTGGAGTGATTTCTTTTCTTTTATTTTAGTATATCTTCTTCGAGCTACTGATTTCCAATGTCATCTTTGATTTCAACTTTCAATATGATAAAAACCACATTAACTGAGGGGTACGGTAACTTAGCACATAGACAACATCAGATTAGGAGTTACAAAGTGTTATCAGATAGGAGTATATGTGGGATCACCAAATTCACGAAACAAGTGCTTAACATGCACATGGTAAGTCTACAAATGATGGCAATTATTGGGGAAAAGTGATCTCAATTTGAACTAAATTTAGTTAACTACAAGTAATTTTTTGGAGTGAAGGAATAACAGTTTTGACAAGGTAAGTGATTCCTATATCTAAATCATACAGACTTGTGGAAGATGGATTAGAAATCTTCTTCCACCATATTGCATAGTCAAAGTTGATATAAGAATCTAGAAGAACTTACTGCAAATAAATGAAAAAACACCTAGTTTAGAGAGTCCTTACTACAAGTAGAAGGACCAATATGACAAACACCTTTCTGCACTGTATTTGGCTATGCTGTGAAATCAACAAACGATGCTTTTTAATTTAAAAATAAAATCTTTTTTTTCTTGAGACGTTTGGCCAAGTTGTATAAGTGCTTTAATGTAACAACAGACGCAGAAAATCTGCTATTGCAGAGAAGCAAGAAGGACATCCTCATAAGCAAAAGCACAGGCAGAATGGGCGGGGGAAGGAAGACAATTTTTAGAAAGCAATTTTTGAAAAAGCAACTATTTCATAGCAAGGTCAAACAAGTGCTAAATCTTTTTGTGTTATAAAAAGCTATACAGTAAAAAAAACTACATGTATTTTCTATAATGGCTCAATGGCATAATTCATAGAACTTAAATATAAAGCTATTCAAACATAATGCATAACCCATAAAAAAATAAGGAATTCTATCACAAACCCTTTTACACACTAAAACATAATATGAGCAGAACATAGACGATAGAACCATGATCTTCCTTAAAATCTTTCAAAACCTTGTAAGGGTGAGCCTTGGATCAGCGGTAAGGTTGCTCCTTGTGACCAAAAGGTCTCAGGTTCGAGTCTGGAAAACAATATATTTGCATAAATGCAAGAATAAGGCCGCATACAATGCACCCTCACCCCTTCCCTCGCAAGTCAAGAATCCTTATGCAACAGGGTTTGCCCTTTACACGTATATAACTTGTGCAACTAAATGGAAACGGAGTGTTCATCACCATTTGTTTTCAACACTTAATATTTGAATCATTTACCTTCCACCATATGTTGCACTCAAAGTCAGTGGCTCAAATCTGTACTCAGCCAAATTCTACTAATTCTAGTAAACAAATAAATAAGAAATTCAAGCAACAGTAACATAATTAATTAGTCAAACAAATAAAAGATTCTTTTTGTATAGTCTTACACTTCATTTCAGCAAAAGAGGACCTTTGAAAAAAAAATAAAAATGGAGCATTGAAAGGCAGAGTTGGAGACTTTACATGTCCATTGTGGAAAAAGCATGAAGGCACATAAATCGAAGGCAAAACTCTGTTAACGTCGCAAGCATAAACACTGGTTCTGCAAACTCTGCCAATTGTTTGCTTCAACATGGAGTACAGGACTAACTGGAATCAAAGCGCTACCAGTAAGAAGATTTATTCAAAATTAGGGAAAGATTTGAAGCGTGAGGACCGACATCGATAAGGGGCTGTTCGAAGAGTAAGTACCTTAGCTTTCTTCTCTGATCGATTATCTTCTCTTCTGTGCTAAAACGGTAAAACCCTAACGTGATTTGGAAATGGGTTTATCCCCCTTTTTTCCTTCAAAAAGTTGTTTTTTTAAATAAAAATGTTTTTGTTTTATATGTAATTTAAAAAAAGGTTTTATAAGATTTATGTGATAGGAAAAGTGATTCTTTAATGTTATAGAGATTCGTTTTACATGCCGTAATTTCTTTTTATTTTCAAAAATTTTGGGTCTTACAAAATGTTGTGTGTGTAGAAAAATTTGTTGTGTTATGATAAATGACAAATATAAACTCCTTTAAAAAATGTAATAAAAGAAATTAAAATAATACTCTCTTAGACGGAGAGGTATTGTTCCAACTTAATGATCTCGAGTTAGAATTTTCTTAGACATAAATGGCCTTCGCGGAGAAAAGATAGCCCTTAGATAAATCTATAGAAAAGATAGCCCTTAGATAAATCTATATATATATATATATATATATATATATATATATATATATATATATATATATATAAAGGAGAGTTCAATGTTGGAAACTTCGGTGATGTGTCATTTCCTGCTTAATTTCGAAAATTGTGTTCACACTACATGGCATATAAAAACTTTCCTTCTTTGGTAAATTGGAAAAAGAACTTATTTTAAAAATTGAATTTTATTTTTTAAATCAAAAAATAAATGACCATTTGTGGTGGCAGACAAGGCATTGAATGTCTCACTGCTGTTCACATTGGAATTGGTCAGCTGATTTAATTGCTTTTTACATTGAAATTTTGAAATTCGAATTTTGATTGCTCATTTAATTGGAATGACTCATCTGATCTAAAATTCAAATTTTGAAATGGAATGACTCAGCTGTTTTAATTGCTCATCTTATCTAAAAATTCGAATTTTGAAATGGAATGACTCAGCTGTTTTAATTGCTTTTTCCATTGGAATTGCTCATCTGATCTGAAATTCGAATTTTGAAATGGTTTCAAATTTTGAATTTAAAATATGGATGATGGGAAAAGATTTGGAGAGTTTTGGGTGGCATTCATTTTGTATAAATAAAGAAGTTGTGTTTCTTATTTTTTTAATTAGCTTGCCTACGATTTCTTTCTTCATTTCTGTTTGTAGGGGTTGTTGTGTTTGTATTATTTTTTGTTTTCTTTGGCTTTCTCCGATTCGTTTCATATTTTAATGGAAGGTTCTTCTTCTGCAAATGTGTCAGGATTGAGGATAACTCATTATTTATATTGTAAAATAAATTCAAAATTTGGAAATAAATTAAATGAAAAATTACGTTAACATTTTTTGGTGGCTGATAACTCATTCAATGTCCCACTGCATTCTACATTGGAATTTCAAAATTAATAATACTAAACTCTTCTAAATTTCGAATTTATGTTTAAATTTGAATTTTTAATTTGAATTTTTAATTTTGTAATGGTGGGAAAACTTTTGGAAAAAAATTTGTGGCAGACAACTTATTTAATGTCTCACTACTTTTCTTTTGTTGTATATTATGAGTAAAAAAGACATCTACTTTTCTTTTGTTGTATATCCCACTATTTTTTGTATGGATAATTGTTAGCCCTATTAATGCTGCATAAAAAAACATAATTACCATAAAAAACATTAAAAAAATACTGTAAAATAACAAAATTATTTATATTATAAAATAAATCTCGAAATTTGGAAATAAATTAAATGAAAATTTATGTCAACTTGATATGTGAGAAAAGAGTTCAACATTTAATATTTATGCAATGGGAAAAGATATATACAATAAATTTGAATTTAATATAAAATTATAGATTAAACAATAAAATATTTAAAATTATAAAAAATACATTTATAGTAGATAAAAATTATTTAAAATTTCAAATTTAAAAGAAAAAATAAGAAATGGCATAATTTATACTTTACTAAACATAAATATTTTAAATATACATGTATAACCAATTAAAATAATATACATGTATTTTTTTTTAAAAAATATTTAACATAAAATTTTAAGTATACATGTAAAACCAATTAAAAAAATATATAAAAATCATTAAAATAGAAAAAAAATTATATAAAAATATGGCTCCAACACGTTTGGAGGGCTGACCTGCCTTGCCCTCCAACACGTTTTTATAATTAAATTAAAATTCCACCTTTCTTCTTTTATAATTAAAAACCTAAATCTAATTACAATTTTTGTAAATATAAATTTATAAAATTTCAAATACTAATAACACAAATTCTTGCAAAAGAATAATTATTTATTCTTATTAATTACTCAATTAAAAGGAATGATCATTCAATGTTTTGATGTATATCATTATTTTAATGCCATAGTTGTTTCCAACCCAATGAGTACTTGGCTCTTCATATTCTTCACCAAATTATTATTGGTGGAGTTGAAGTATTATTGAGATTAAATACCATGCATTAAGTATATGCTTATATATATGTTAATTTTGAAAATAATTATTTATACTTATTCAATTAAGCTAATGAATGGTATTTTGATATTACCATATATTCATCTTCAACTCAAATATTTATCAACTTTTCATCTAATATATATTTCAGAAATACACACATATGAGTTGATTTAGAGACAACTATAGAAAATATAGATAGATAGTAATCTAGAAGTAACTATAAAAATCTTTTTTTTTGTGGATAAATATAAAAACCTATTACATGTTGATATAAAATGTTGACAGTTAGATGTGGCAAACTGGGCTCGGCCCGGAGGGCCGGCCCGCTAATATGTTTTTATAATTAAATTAAAATTTATTATTCTTCTATTATAATTAAATTCCTAAATCTGCTTTCAATTTTTGTATATACAAATTTGTAAAATTTCAAATACAAAGGACACAAATCCTTGCAAAAAATAATTATTTATTATTATTTTTTAAATCTCATTGTAATAAATGAAAGACCATCTCTGAGATAAAATATAAAAACCTAAATGTGACTATAAGAACCTTTTTTTGTGGATAAATATAAAAATATATTGTATGCTCATAGTTAGTGGTGGCAAACTCGGGCCGGCCCACCAACACATTTTTATAATTAAATTAAAATTTCATCATTCTTCTTTTATAATTAAATTCCTAAATTCGATTTTAATTTTTGTAAATACAAATTTGTAAAATTCAAAATACTAATGAAACAAATCCTTGCAAAAAATAATTATTTACATAAAATACTAATAGTTAAAGGTTGCAATCTGGGCTTGCCCAGAGGGCCTTCCCGCCCCTCCTGCCAACACGTTTTAATAATTAAATTAAAATTTCACTATTCTTCTTTTATAATTAAATTCCTAATTCAGATTTCAATTTTTATAAATACAAATTTATAAAATTCCAAATGCTAACGACACAAATCCTTGCAAAAAAAATAAGATAGCAATACATGTTTTTATAAGTATAAGGTTTGCAGTGCGATTAACCAACTATGACGGACGGCAAATATTTTGATCTTTTCCCCTGTGCATCGCACGGGTAATACACTAGTTAGGTGTTTAGAAGGATTGTACTGTAAGTTTGTTGGTTGACTTATTTATATTATTTTGAGTAAATATCTTTTTTGGTCCTCATCAAATTTCACGATGTCCGCTTTAGTCCCTAGCAAATAAAAAGGTCCATCGTGATCCCTAAAAAATTCCAAATGAACCCATTTAGTTGAAGTCGTGGTCCCTAACGAATTCAAAAAAGACCTATATTAGTCCTCAAAATGACTAAAATGGATCCATTTTGAATTTCTTAGGGACCACGATGTGCCTTTTTATTTGCTAAGGACTAAAGCGGGTATCGTGAAATTTGCTGAGGCCAAAAAGGATATTTACTCTATTATTTTTGGAGTAAATATCATTTTTGGTCCTCAACAAATTTTACGATGTCCGCTTTAGTCCCTAGCAAATAAAAAGACTATTCGTGGTCCCTAAGAAATTCAAAATAGACCCATTTTAGTCCTTTTGAGGGACTAATGTGGGTCTTTTTTAATTTGTTAGGGATCACGATTTTAACTAATTGGGTCCATTTTGAATTTCTTAGGGATCACGAATAGCCTATTTATTTGCTAGGGACTAAAGCGGGAATCGTGAAATTTACTAAGGACCAAAAAGAGTATTTACTCTAATTTTTTAAAATAAAACAAATAAAATTATTATTTAAATAATTTGAATAAAGAAATAATATTTATTTTTTAAATATAGGTAATACTAGACTTATAATTTAACCAATGTTAACTTACGTCAAGCTGGCTATCAAAATAAAAAAACTTACGTCAAGCTAACAGAGTGATCAGACCATATTTTATACAGAAAAAAATTTAGTGCTCATGCGCTATGTAGCACCGACACTGACACGGAACACGACACAACACGCCGACACGTTAATTCTAAAAATTGTCATATTTCGACACGTTGAGACACTTTTTGATATTAAATAATACTTTTAATATATATAATATAATTTATATTTAATACATATAACAACCCATAATAAGTCATATAACCAATCAAATATTCAAATTTATAACATAAATATAAAAATAATAATTTTTCGTACCTTGTTAATTTATTATGTCAACTTTTATAACAGAAAAAAATTGATTTATAAATTATTTTTTTATGTTTAGTTAATAAAATAAAGTTTAGTTCTAAAAAAAAATATGTCGGAGCATTGACTGCGTGTCAGAAAAAGTTGATTGCGTGTCGAAAAAGTGTGTCGAAATGTGTCAAAATATTGACCACATGTCAGATGCGTGTCAAAACGTGTCGGTGTCCGACTCGCATTTTTTAAAAAATTGGGTGTTCGTTCATTGCTACTCATGCCCCTATATGATCCTTCCATTGAATAAGTGACATTTGTATAAAATAAAATAAAATTTACTCTCTTCTTTCTCCTTTCTTCTGAGTGGTCGCCACATTTTCATTGATTTACACTACTAAAAATTTGGTACTACGGAGCACCAAAAATCTTC